AGGGGGAGAGAGAGAGAGAGAGAGGGAGAGATTTGGCGGGGACCCGCGGGGAAGGTGTTTTGTTTTTTTTGTGGGTCGAGGGAGGAGGAGGAGAAGGAGGAGGAGGAGGAGGAACCGCCCACTTTTTGACGGGGATCGGCTTGAGATCGGCGTTGTGCATGTAGAAAATAGTCCTGTCGTGGAGGTCCCCAGGGTTGTGTTGGGTAGAGTGATGACTCTTGTTTAGTTATATCCTCCAGTGGACAAGGCTGAAATGAAGGAACGCCTTTGTCGCTGGGGAAACCCCCAACTTCCCCGTTGGTAGCGCTTTACTGAGTTGGAGTGTTTGGCGACAGTCTCGCCCTTGCTCTTCGTTGCTGTTAGAACGCACCACCGTCTCAGTTGGCACACACAACAGTAGCAGTGGCGTGGACTGCGCGATGCAACGTGCACGAGCAGCGATTCAAGTACTGCTGGCGGTTGTGCCACACTACTGCTGTTGCGGCGTTTATCCTGTGGTGGAGGTACACGCCCCCTTCTTCAACCAACCTCACCCCCAACACTCAATTCTGATAAATTTACGAAAGCCTCCTTCCTTAGTCAACCTCACCCCCACACCTCAATCCTGGTTATTTACCAAGCAAAGTATTACAAGAACGATAAGAGACGAAGGAAATAAAAAAGGTACTTCGTGAATACCAAAGTTAAACGCGATGTTTCGGGGGGGTACTTGTGCACCAGGTGGTGGTGATCTGCGGGAAGAACGAAGTGGTCAAGCGGGAGCTCGAGGAGGCCGACTGGCCCAGCAACACCCGCGTCATCGTGCACGGGTTCGTGTCGAACATGGACGAGTGGATGGGGGCGGTGGATACCCTGGTGACGAAGGCGGGGCCGGGGACTATCGCGGAGGCTACGATAAGGGGACTGCCGGTGATGCTGAGCGGCTACCTGCCCGGGCAGGAGGAAGGGAACGTGCCGTACGTGGTGAACGGTGAGCGACAGGGAAGGGGTAGAGGGACGGTGTGTGTTTTTGTTATTAGCATCGACCGCGCTTGTGTGTGTGAGAGAGAGAGAGAGAGAGAGAGAGAGAGAGAGAGAAGGTGATCGACAGGTGATTAGACCGCCCCGCCCCGCGCCACGCCGGTGTTGGCCATCGGGTTTGGGTTTTCGTCGCTTGGCAACGACGTTGTAAAAGAAGCCGATCACTTCTTGAGCTCAACAACCAGGTTACCGCTTTGTTTTTGCCCTTGTTTTTTTTTTTAATGTAACTATTATTATTTCGTGATCGAGTAGATTATGTTGTGCGGGGTCGAGAGCCCTCACTCTTGCAAAGGGGATGATCGAACCACGTTGTGTTAAAATGGCCAAGCACCCTCGAGACAGTTGTACAGCAGTGCTTTTAACTGCTGTCTCTGGAAGTGAAAGCACCAGAAAATAAAATAAGTCATACGCAGCTGTCATCCGTACGCAAGCAAGTAAGCACAAGATGCCGAACACCCTTAGCAGGATGCAGCTCACCCTTCATGCGACTCGCCAAATACCTCACGGCGCTTCGCGCTTGGTGATGTGAGAGCCTGGTCCGGTGAGAACCCGGCGTGCTCCGTCCCGGCGTTGTAGGGATGCGAGGTCAATGGTGTAACGACTACGGCATGCACCACTATGAGTACACCCCCCCCCCCCCCCCCCCCCGGGGCGGGGGTGTCCCGGCCTGGCTATTTCTAATGGCCCAAAATGAAACCGGGGGTGAAAGGGGGACCTAAAACAACCTTTCCCTCCCCTCTCCTGGCCCCCATTCTCTCCTCTTTCCCCAAACCTCCCCTTTTCCGGGCCCTTGGGAAAAAGGGGGTTTCGAGCGTACAGCAAAAAACCCCCCGAAATTGGGGCGACGGGCGCCCCCTGGGTCCAAAAACCCCAGCTGCTGCAAAAAAAAAAAGAATGGGCCCCCCCGGGCGCCCCTCCCAAGGGGTCCTACCAAATTCCCCCCGAGAATCCCCAAATGGTCTTTCTCCAACAAGAACGGGGGGGGGGGGGGCCCCGGGAAACCAAAAAAACAGTAATAACAAATAACGGGGGGTGGGGTGGGGGTTTGCCCACGGGTTTGGGAGGGGGGGGGGGATTTTCGGGAGGGGGGGAA